GGTTCTTAAAATCTCTGCATGATTCCATTTTCTGTATACCTATTCCACCAAAGAAACTGTTCCCATAAATTCAGTGTGCATATCTTTGTCAATATTTTCATGTTAGTTTTGATTTCAATATCCATTTGCATTTTTCTTTAAGACTTACTTGGAAAAAACCCAATGTTCATTCAAGCCATCTACAACACATCACTTATTGCCCCTGAAATTTAGTAGTTTAGATCAACATGTGAAGCACCTTCCTTAACCTCAAAAGTCTTAGCTGATGCACACCATTACCTGAGGGATAACAATTCATTTGTCAACTTATTTTTATGACCAGCTTTCCAAAATCTGGTGCCTGAGTCCATATTATACAAATGAAGATTTCCACATAATGTGTGGGTGGCAGACAGTTTTTTTGAATTCTAGTAGTTGATGTGCATTCCAGGTGTTCTATTAATCAGGAACATTTTTTGGTTAAATAAAAACTTGTCCTCAACAAACAACTTATTGTTGTTAAGATGTATTGTCAAAAATATTTCCAAGGTATGTCTAGTATGAGCCTCTGCATAATTACTATGATATTTCCTCTTGTATAGGAGAGATATTTCCAGTGGGCTCCAGTAGAGAATACAGCGGTTTTGGGATAAGAGTTAGAAAATCCACACTTTAGTTCCATATCATTAACCTTTGCCTGTGAACTCAGCCATCCTGTCTATAATGGAGGCAGCTGGGGCCAACCACTGCTGACCTGGGTAATCCACCAGGAACCTTAATTCAATGAGCACAGTGAGTATCAGGGATTTTTCTTGGTATTTGAAATAGCTGTGTGGGTTGTTATAAGGAAAACCTTTCAAGAGTATTCTGGGTAAATGCTTGTTGTCTGTGATACTTAGCTCAGTTCAATCATGGCTTCATTATTTTATATCTAAACACAAATTATGAAGTTAAATAAAAATGCTGTCTTTTCATTTTGGTAAAATAATAATGTTGGTGGAGCTTCTGAGTTGCAGAAGACTGTGCACATGAAATGAAACATGCTACACCAAACATAGAGAGTAGAGACTCCATTTTGGGAAACTGTCAGTATCAGTTCATGATATGATTATTGCCAATCTCTTCCCCTCATCACCTTCATAAACCATTGGAAATGCTTAGGAAAAAGTTCACAGGACCCAATTTCTACTTCCACACATAGAACCGGTGTGCAAGGAAATCAAAACTTGGAATGAGATTTTTTGGTGCCTCCCCCACTGTCAGGTACATAAACTTCAAAGTTAAAGTAGCTGATATTCTGCATATTTTTTATTTTCATATCTGTCTACCTCACACTGTCATGTTGTCTTAATGATGGGGAAAGATCACTCCAGAGAGTCCTTCCTCCATCCATCCTCTCCCCCAGCACTTACTGGGTAGTGCTGAGTCTATGCTGAGTCATGACAAAGAGAATCCAATGCCCCTCCTCTGCCTGGTACCCAGTGGAGGCCTCAGGCTCCGTGCTCAGGATTGATATGAATACGGTGATAAATACGAGCTTCCTGGTGCAGAAAACCCTGGAGGATCAGACCCAGGTATGAAGCCAACTGGACTGGAGCCATTGAACTGAAGAACTGAAGACATAGGGTGACTATTACTATTTATTATATGATCTTAGGGCTCCATGCACAGGGCTCATAATTAGTCAAATTATTCCATGTTTTCCAAATCTCCAAGGACTTCTTAATACAAGTAAGAAACAGAAGATAAAATGAACGTCCACAAATATTTTGGGCATCTTCCTAGGAGAAGGATGTTTCCTATTTACATGCTTTATTTCTTTTACTATGATTCATCTACTTTTATTTAAATTATATTGTGGTAAATATGCATAACAAAAACTTACCATTTTAATCATTGCTAAATGCACAGTTAAATGGCATTAATTACATTCATAACATTAAAAGACCATAGCAATCATTCATTTCCAGAATTTTGCATTTTTCTAAACTGAAACTTTATACCCATTTAAAAACTCTTCACTCCTCATACCTCATGTCTCTGGTAACCACCATTTTACTATGAAATATGATAAGGAAGAAAAGCCATAAAATATTTAAAAAATAATGGTCCAAGTAGACAGAATTTACATGTTTAAATTCATCCCTGCTGTGTTTTCTAGCTTACATTCCAAATTAATGCACCAGTCCTGAGATTAGACCATCCTGCTGTGCATCCAGGCACTTTAAATGTCCCTATTTCTCAGGCTGTAGATGAAGGGTTTCAGCATGGGTGTGACCACTGTGTATATCATTAAGGTCACCTCAGCCTTTCTGGGAAGAACATAATACAGCTAAATCAAAGTATACTCCAAGGCCTGTTCCATAAAATAAAAAAAGAGAACAATGGAGAATTGAGACCTTCAGGGTTTTTTTCCCCTCTGTTCTGATGATGGTATCATATGAATGGAGGAAAAGTTTTAGAGAAGGGAAAAGTATTCTGGACGTGGGAAGATATTCAGAGACGGCATCAAAATAAACACACGACAGAGTTATCACTAAAGATGTCAAAACTGGAAAGATTGAAAGTTGAGAAGGGTTGTGGAAGAAATTAGAAATTTCCACATGTTAAAAGCAGGGAGATTACAATGCAATTCATTCATGCTGCTTAAAATAAGTGAACCTAAAATTAAGAAAACACAGAGGCATGAATTCATAGTAGGCTGGAAATGCAGTTGGCCACACTGAGCAAAGGCCATTACAGTCAGAATGCATCCAAAATGATAAAAAGAGACATCTGGAGATGGCTCTTCTGTAAGTTTGTATGCCCACAATTATATTGGAACTATGGTGGAGATGAAGCAGATGTGAGCCAAGGACAGGTTGGAGAGGAAGAAGTACATAGGGGTGTGGAGGTGGGAGTCAGAGCTGACAGCCAGGGTGATGAGCAGGTTCCCAAGCACTGTGACCAGGTACATGGACAGGAACAGTCCAAAGAGGAGCGGCTGCAGGTCTGGGACCTCTGAGAGGCCCAGGAGGAGGAATTCTGAGCCACCTGTTAGATTTTGTGTTTCTTCATAGTTCTGACAACTAATTCTCAAACTCTGCACTTGATGCACTAAACTTTTTCATTGCTTTCAACCATCAACATTTTAAAGCTAAGATCCAAAATTCTAAATCACAGGTAAGTACAGTGAGAAGTTCTGAATTCTAAATTCCAGTTTTGAGTAGGAATGTTGTAAATATCCTGCCTATAATGTCTTTGTTTGATATTGATTGGGCTGCTGTAAGAATGGAGGGGTATGTGGGCCACAGTGAGGTTGTCCTGGAGTAGCAGAAAGAGCAATGAGTGCTGCTCACTGCTTATCTTCTCTGTCTGTGGTCGTAGCCTGGAATCTATTTCTGTCATTGCTATAGTTGACTCAGAAGGTACCAACCACTTCTGTCCCTTTTGGTGTACCAGTAATCCCAAAAAGGAAGGACACAATGAGAAAGGGACTATTTATTTATTTATTTATTCATTTATTTATTTATTATGGAGAAAGAGGCAAGTGAAATTGCTGGTTGGGCTGTCCAGTGGGCAACATTCCAGTATTCTCCTGTCAAGATGCCCTGTATCTATAATCAGACACACCAAATGGCTTTTCTATTTTCTAGCAGACTACTACTTCTTTCTTTCATGGATGCTGCTGCTGCTGCTGCTGCTGCTGATGATGATGATGATGATGATGGTGTTGATGGTTATAATATAACATAGGAGCTGAAATGTTAGATTATGCAGATGAAATGACGCAAGATACAAAGAACACATTTCTGATACTGACATTTAGGTATCCCTCAATATTTATCCATAGTATTGTGGGCACTCTTCTCTTTCTCCTTGGCCTCATTTTCATAATCTTTTACAGTAATTGGGAAACAGTTTACAGAAACCCATACTCTGCCATCATGGATGATGTTCCAAGTGTGGAAGGAAATGGAAACATTGAATGAGATTCTTAGGATCCCCAACACAACCAAATACTCATATTCACACAACTCATAACAGCTGAGTATTGCATATTGATGTCTTCCCATTTCAATGCCTAAACTTCATGTTAATCTTCATGACTAAAACAATGGTTCTGATCGCCTTTCTCCATTCATCATCAACTGGGCACTGAATGAGTTGTGATTCTTCTTTGCTGGGCCATGAATATGAACTCTGGTTCTGACATCCACCCCATGACAGGTGCCTAATGAAGGCTCAGCCTCCATCCTAACAATTGACTTGAATATAGGGACAGACAGGAGCTTTCTGATACAAAAAACTATGGTTGAAGAGACACAGGTATGGAGTGCAATCGACTGAAATCTTCAAACCACAAGGAAGCAGGCAAAGCTACCTTTTTACTATCATATGAGCTTGGGGGCTCAGGAACTCACAGTCTGTTAAATTGAACCACAATATTGAAATGTATAAAGGACTTTCTCATCATAGTGGAGGGGAGAAATAAACATGTACAATAGATTTGGGGCTCTTCCTATACTCAAGAGTATACTTGTGTGTACTTTCCACTGTTTATTGCGTTGATTTTAAAAATGATTAGAGCATAATAATTACACAGAGTAGTTGAATTCATTTTGACAAAATCTTTCATGCATGGAATCTGTTTGCTCCATTTCAGTTCCTGTCCTAGACTTTTCCCTCCCCTCTTCTCCCTTATTATCCTTCCTGTATTTTACTGATTTTCCTTTCACTCATGTTGAATTGCAGAGTTGGGGGGCATTAATTGCATCCACTCTTTCATGCAAACATCACCATCAACAATCTGCAGACATTTTTCATCTTCCCAAACTGAAACTTTGTACCCATTTATAAAAAACTTCCTCCTTCTCCTAGCCCAGGAAAACACCATTCTACTAAGAAACATGATGAAGAAATAAAATCATCAAACTACAAAAATAATGTTATCACAACGAGGCATAAGTTACATGGAAATCTAGATGTTTAGCATTGCTGCTTTTTCCAACACGTTCCAAATGAAATCTGAATGCCTGAAATTACACTGTCCTGCTGTGCACCCTCCACAGAGCATTATTAATGTCCCTGTTCCTCAGGCTGTAGATAAAAGGATTCAGCATAGGAACGACCACAGCATACATCAGTGAGAACACAGAAATCTTTCTGGGTGATTGTGATACAGTAGAAGCAAGGTACACTCCAACTGCTGTTCCATAAAATAAACAAACAACTGCCAGGTGAGACCCACAGGTGGAGAAGGCTTTGTACTTCCCACTTGATGATGGGATTCTAAGAACAGAGGAAACAATTTTGTAGTATGAGTAAAAGATGCCTGAGAGAGGAAGGAATCCTGAGATGGCACCAACAAAATACATGATTGCATTTTTGGTAAAGGTATCAGAACAAGAAAGATTCAGTACTTGAGAAGCCTCACAAAAGAAATTAGAAATTTCCACATCTTTAAAGTAGGCAAAGTGTAAGACAATAAAATTGTGGAGCTGGGCTTCCAAAAGGCTAAACAAAACAGACACCATAACTAAAAAGCCACAGAGACGAGGGTTCACAATGATGAGTATTGCAGGGGGTGACAGATGGCCACAAACCAGTCATAGGCCATCATGTCCAGAAGCATGTCATCCATACATCCAAAAATGATAAAAATGGACATCTGTGTCAAGCAGCCCACATAGGAGATGGCTCTGCTGTGAGTTTGGATGTTCATGAGCATCTTTGGGACCGTGGTGGAGATGAAGCAGATGTCAGCCAAGGACAGGTTGGAGAGGAAGAAGTACATGGGGGTGCAGAGGCGATAGTCAGAGCTGACAGCCAGGATGATGAGCAGGTTCCTGAGCCCCCCAACCAGGTACATGCACAGGAACAAGGCAAAGAGGATGGGCTGCAGGTTTGGGTCCTCTGAGAGTGTCATGAGATGAAATTCTGATACAGATGTTAGGTTTTTCAGTTTAATTTTGCTTGGGCACTTTTTTAAAAAAATTTTTTATTTTTTTTATTGTTGGTTGTTCAAAACATTACATAGTTCTTGATATATCATATTTCACATTTTGATTCAAGTGGGTTATGAACTCCCATTTTACCCCGTATACAGCTTGCAGAATCACATCAGTTACACTTCCATTGATTTACATATTGACATACTC